TTCCCACTGAGGTGCCTTGATACAGCACTCTGGGAACAGCCTATTCGTTCAGCAATTTCTTTCTGTGTCTTACCCTCTTGCTTGAGGGTGTCAATGATGGCCTTCTGGACAGCAGTCAGGTCGGCAGTCTTACCCATGATTGTGGTTTTGAGTAATGAACAAGGCTGGGAGTTTTTAAAAGCCTCAGGAATCTTTTGCAGGTGTTTAGAGTTACGTCGTTGATTCAGATGGTTAGGTTAATAGCTTCTTTAGAGAACCTTTTCATGATATGCTAATTTTTTGGGACAGGCATTTTGAGTTTTCATGAGCTGTATACCATAATCATCAGTATTAAAACAATTAAAGACCTGAAATATTTCAGTTGGTGTGCAATGAATCTGAAATATATGAAAGTTTCATTTTTATCATTACATTATGGAAAATAATGATCTTTATCACAATATGCAATTTTTTTTAGAAGGACCTATATATAAGAAAAGCATATAAAGTTATAAAAACATAATGTAGTCCTTCCCTGTCAGGTCACCTCTATGTAAATTGAAGAAAGGGGGGAGGGAAGGAAAGTCTGAGATTATCATTGTATGTTTCCATGCAATGGCAAAATTAGTTCTCTGCATTTAACCCAACACACGATATACATCCGATGGAGCAGTGGGCAGTTATGTAGGTGCCCGGGGAGCAATTAGGGATTAGGTGTCTTGCTCAGAGACACCACGACATATGGTTGCGACTTTCTGGTCCCAAGTCAGCTGCCCAACCTCTACCCCATCTCAGCCCCCAAGAACAATATATTTTTGAATAGGACTTGACTAACCCCAAGAATAAAATAAGGGGAGTGGTGGCACAGAGGTTAGAGAGGTGGGCCTGTGATCCGAAGATTGCCGGTTCACGCCCCGGCCCCGACAACACACAAAATTGTGGGTGGGGTAGGTGAAACACCCACACTTGCCCCCACCCTCATTCGCCCCACTCTGGGCCCATGAGCAAGGCCCTTAACCCCACCATGTGCTCTCTAAACAGGTCTCTCTTGAAAATGAGTTCTCGTGGCTCAATGAGACTAACCTGGATAAATAAAGGCTAAATGAAAAAATAATTTTGCCATTTAAACTATTGACAAAAATAATGAATAAAAATCTGCAGTCAAAAGTTTCAGGAAAAATAAATTAGTTCTGTTCTCTACTTACTCTCACTCTTACAAATTTATTTATATATTGTGTATATATATTAGACTCATGAATATCTAACTAGGATAATCACCGTGAAAAAAAAAAATCACACCCTGTTGCTGCTGATCAGTTTCATGTTGCTGTGTTCATTCATGCTCATCTGCTCACACAGACTCATGTTCGTGCTGCTGTTCGACATAATGTTTTTATGCCACTAGTGCTTAGTGTACATTTAGTTGATGTTTTTCTTAGTTTATATCTTAGATCTTATTACTGTTTTTCATTTACATGTTATTGTTCAATGTAACTGGGACCCTGTGTACATAATTTCATTCCACCACATGTACCACATGGGGTGCAAATGACAAATAATGAACCTTGAATCCTTGAATATACCAGTATATAAGAAGTTTTGCTTCTCGTCCCGAGTATAAAAGCTCCTTGGATAAGAAGCTAATTCAAAGTGCATGCAGTGGCCAATGTATAAACTTGCCAAACCAAGATGATGAGATCCCGTGAAGGAGCAGCAATGCCTAGCAAAATGACCACAGGTAACTGTCTTTGCAGGTAAAATGGACAAGAAGTCACAGCAAAGAGTTAAATAGCCAAAGTAAAGAGATATTCTTTCAAAGAGACATAGGATCTCTAAACCACTGATCTTAAAATTAAAAGCAGTAATACAATGGAACTTGAAAAGGAATAAAAGAACCAAAAACTATAGGACTAAGGCTGCAACTTGTTCAGCATCCTTAAAGCAAACATTTGTAATAACGAACCTTTTGTCAAAGTTCTGAAATTTAACGAAACTGTAAATAAAAATGAAGTGAAATTACATGCCCAGAGTGATTCTGCAGGCGTCGTTACACTAGTATATAATTAACCACTTTCTCACGGAACAAAAGGTCAGGTTCTGAATCTAAAGCCAAACCACCCCAATAAACCAAGGGTATCCTTTTTCCCAGGCTCTAAAAGGCCGTTTGGAGTGTTTTGTATAATTAACATCTGAACATGGCCCAGCCCACCATGACCCCCTGCATTACACACCTCCACTAAAAACAGACGCTTCACCTGGAGCCACTTCCACTCTTTAAATGAGCATACGCCTTTTACAGATGAGAAAGTATGTTTTAATGTTGTCATTAAACGTGTAGAAATGTTGAATAAGTATTTTTTAAATACAAAGAAAAAAATCCTACCTTACTAGAGGCTTGATTATGTTTTTACTTCTATTTTTGTTAAAGCTGAAGTCAGTCTCCAAGAGTCAGATGGTTCAAAGTGACAATTTGTTATGAGATGTCATAAAAGTCACCAGTCACCGGGTCAGACGGTCAAATTCATTAGTGTCGGGTTTGTGCACAGGTTTAAACTCAAAGATGAAAAACAGAGGAGAGTTCACAAAGAGTTCATTCAAGGTTAACGCAAGTTTGACTTTCTGAAGCTTTGCGCCCAGAAAATTTGCTCTGAAGTAAACAGAGAATGAAAGATGAAGTGAAGCGAGTAATCTTTAAGATATCTGAGAAACAGCTTAATCAATACCACAACAGGCAACCCAGTCTGACCTTGAGTTGTTGTGTTGTTACATGGATGTTTTATATTGAGCCAGTTCCTTCAGACAACCAAAGGTTCGATTTGTCAAATCAGCTGATTAAAACCTTCTGAAATGAGCCATGGATGTGATGCTTACGCTTTTGCTGCTGCTGCTGGTAGGAGAAGTTTTTCTCTCTCTCAGGAGAGAAACTCCTGTTGCTGGAGGTAGACCTGGAACGAGGTGGTGGCTGGGCTTGGGCTTCCTTTGAAGGAGAGCGATCCCTTGTGATCACAAAAGACTTCGATGTCCTGTAGTCCTCACGGTTCTCCCTACAGAAAGAATAAGCAATCCAAAACAAACACAAATCAAATGGTGCAGTAACCTAAAAGCTGTGTACAACACAACAATGTGAGGAAGGTTGGAAACAAAGCCTAAATGTTTACACATTAAGTTATAGAGCTAACTGATAAATCATAGTTATATGATCATCGTTGCATTATAAAAGGAGTTGATACAAAATGATTGCATGAAATGTATTGGTTAGGGAATTTTTGGTCAAAGTTTATGGATGTTTTTTTTTTAACTACTATGGCTGAGAATGTTAATTCTGCCCATGAACCATATGTTTGGGTTAGCAGAAAGCTGGATGAAGAGTTGAGTGAGGCCGCAGCGTGCAGCCATCACTCCAAGGTCGCCTCAGAGTCTGTGAGCTCAGCTGAACTGATAAGATATAAAAACAAGCTTCACACACAGCCCGAGGCAGATTCTCATGACTGGTCTCTGAATATCTGTAACCCCTGTTTGTCAAATAAATCTTTTATACCGAGGGCGATGTCTCAGCTGTCTTGAACACGACGTGGTAACCAGCCACGACACTGGCCATGTGTACTTCCTGTTAATCTAAGTAACCTGTCCTGAAAATCTGTCCTTACAAGTAAAAACCAATTAAAAATCTTCAGTCGTCGAGTGTGGCTCCTTTGAGTAAGTGACAAAAGAGAGAATATTTTTCTCCAACAGTAATTACTAAAGCAAATCATTTCACTTAAATTAGATTTGATCAACCAACCTTTATTTATCCAAGTTACTCTCACTGAGTCACGAGGACTCATTTACAAGAGAGACCTACTTAGACAGATAGCATACAAAGTACAGTACCTTGTTTATCGTGGGGGATCCGTACCCTGAAGACCCGTGATAAGAAAATAAAAATAAAAAATCGAAGTAGGACTAATAGTACAAGCAGTAAGTTGTAGTTTATTTAAGATATATATATATATATATATATATATATATATATATATATATATA